TTTAGTTAATAAATTTTTTATTTATAAATAAAAATAAAAAAATTTTTTTTTCCAAAAGCGAGTGTCCCACACTGTATACTGTTATCATAAAAATTATACAACTTTTTTTTATAAGAACAACGAAAAAACTTCATAATCTTGCAAAACAAGTGAATAGATATATCCTACGCTTGTGTGAAAATCTCTATATATACCACTCGTAAAACGGATTTGATTATGTTCTATATATAAATCACATTTATCACCCCTAGAAAAGAACGATAACACTCTGCCAAAGCAGGGCCCACTGTTATTACTATAAGAGACGGCGTATTTACTATCCTGATCAGGATAAGCGACATGGTCAAGCGACAGGCCATCGAGAGTAAACAAAAAACTTTCTTTTGTGTCTTCCCAAGAGCGTTCATAAAGTGATGTGCGCAAACTGTAAGCTTTCCAACTAAACGGGTTATATCCCCCGATTATTTTATCAAACCCTTGACACTTTGCTAAGAAAATGGTTGCCCCTTTATCATCACATAACTTGTGAAACTCATCAGCTTCAAAACCATCACGACTGGCACGATATAATAGTCTAAAATAGCCTTTATATTCTCCTGCGCTACGTTTGTTAATTTGATCCGTTATCACTTGGAATTGATCTTTATTGATTAACGATGAATAAATTCTCGGTGGTAATATAACTGTGTTAGGTGATGAAGTTGGATCTAAGCTGTAGCCTACTACGTCTAAAAATAGCTCTTCTGGAAGTATACATTTAAATAGCTTCATTTCTTTACGAAAATCGGCTGCCGGTATTTGAAACCACCTGATAAAGGGTACTAATCTTTGGAGAATATCCCTTAATTTCTGAAAATCGTCGGTTGTCCATTCGTTCCTATTATTCAGATCCAAAGAAGATTGTGCCGCTCCCCATTTTAATAAATAATTCCAAATCCGAATCTCTTCTAGATTAATAAAATCCCACAGTAAAATCTCATTAATATTATTTGCGTTTAATTTCAGGAAAGATGGAGACTCAAAGAATGTTATGGCCTCTATGCAGCTAATTAAAACACATGAGTCTCTAAGAGTTGTACAAGCCTCATTTGCATAAGTAATTTGAAGAATTCTGGCCAAATCCTTTTTTATGACATTAACGTCCATAAGAATAGCTTTAATGAATGGATCTCTGTGCGCAGCGCAAGCTTCATGTTGCAGAATTAGTTGAAGAAGGCCGTATGGATCTTTCTTTAGAATGTCGACATCTTCATAAGTAGTTTTAATAAAAGCATTTCTGAACGAATTACAAGCTTTATGTTGTAAAACCATTTGAAGAAGGCCAACTGGATCCGCTCTTAAAAGATGAGATTTTGTTGCGAATAAAAAGGATCGAACCGTTTTTATAAGTGTAAGAATACTAAGTTCTTCTACTGCTATTAAAAGTTGCAATACTTCAAATCCATCTAATTTATTTAAATCGATAGTAGCTTTGTACAAATACCTGTTTGAATTCGATTTTATAGTATCAAGAGAGTTTATATTAAAAGTTATTTAAAGTAAATATATGAGAATACTACAGTTAAATTATACTCACTCTAAAATAATGCTAAATATGAAGCCAGGGATATTTGGCTTTTCAAAAATTACGTACGAATAAACTTTCTTCGCCCAATTTTTTGATAATGTAATTCTAAAATAAGATGATCTTGCGCATAATATTAGAGAATGAACACGGAATTCTTTGTATGTATTCCCTTCGCCGGCCTGAATGATCACATCAGAATTAGTTCCGCTTTCAAGCAGGTTTCCAATATTTTTAAAATATTCATCACAAAATTCATAGGACATTTTTGAAAAAGAGATAATTAAATTATGACAAATATGAATTTATAAGAGCTGGAGGTAATAAAATGATTCTGAGATATGTACAGGTTGAATATTCCACTTGACAAAGACTAATCGATTGTATTGAAGAAAATTCTAGATCTAACCCTTAAAGGGTTTGTTGAATAATATGTAACTTTAAACTAAAGAAAAGAAAACCCCCCGTAAAAATCTGCAAATGACAAAGCTTTATTTCCGTAGAAAGTTAGAACTGGTTAATCCAGTTCCAAAACGGTCCTAAGGACCGATTATGATCATGAGTATTTTGATAATCGTAACGATATTTATTATACATACAGTACGCCACCAATCAATATTAACCTGATTTTCTTATTGAATGAATTAAATACTGTATGCTGTTCGCGGATGATCGACATCGTACATACAATATAATATCCATCTAAATCTAGCGAATAATATGCCATTCGAAAGCCCTAATCGTAAGAAATCCAATGGTGCTAAAATCGTTCTATTCTAGTCACTAGTTATGAAGCCATAGCTATTTAAATTTTTTTTAAAATATCTATATCTTTATAACTAGTAACTAGAATCGATTAGGGCTTTCGAATGGCATATTATTTGATAGATTTAGATGGATATTTTAATTATAGAATTATTTTTTAAAAAAATACAACTTTTTATCATCCGCGGATCGTGCATTCGGATTTTAAAGTCTATAGCGATAACTCGCAGATAATAGAATCAGAATATTGCCAGTTATTTTTAATAGAAATACCTATATTATATTAAATAATTTCATAAATAAGTAATAATAAAAGTTTATTTTGGCCTAATTTGATTGATTCTACAAAGGAATTAGTACCGTACAGCGCTGACTAAAGTACCCGGGGTCTCTTACAATACCTGCATATTTGGGGGTTACTTTACTAGGGGGGTACTATGGTCCAGATACTGCATAACCATGTAAAATACCCGGGTATTATATCTATAAATAGTTAATACATATACTGTATATCGATCTTTATAATGTTTTGTGAAATACGATTTTAATCTTTTATGAAGTTTCGCAAAGTACAATCATTACAATAAAAGTATTTCGCAGAGTGCAATCTTTATAATAAATGCCTCGTGGTACGATTTTTGAAATATTAATAATGTAATCTTATGAGTACATGAATCAAAAATTCTTTATATCATATATTTCGCAAGTACAATCTTCATAATAAATGTCTCACGGCACAATTTCTTAATAGCACAATCATAATTTAATCTCAATAATAGCATGTCATTTCATTTTTTATAATGAGCGAATAAATTATATAAAGATTCCCATTTCTCGCTATCTTAATAGCTACCATCTACTTTCAAATTACTTGTATGGTACGTGCAAATCTAACAATTCATCATGTACGTTTTACACAAAAAATTCGTCACAAATGGTCTGCACGAGAAAAACTTATGATTATTCATTACTTTGAGCAGTGCAAAAGTATACGTAGTACTGCTAAAAAGTTTGATATTCAATCTAAGTAAGTACGTGAATGGAGAAAAAATAGGGATCGATTAATGACTGTTGCACCTCACATTCAAAAGTTGCATCTTGGAAGAAAAGCAAATTTCCTGAACTTGAAAATAGCTTGGCAGTTTGGATACGAGAAAATAGGAGTAAAGGCAAGGCAATAATACAAACTGTGGTTGTACGAAAGGCAAAAAATCTTATACAACAACCTGAATTTCAACAATTATATCCCGAAATTAATATCTTTGGCTTTTCTAATAAATGGATAGATGTTCCACCATAATTTCACCAACAGATGTAAGACAAATGTAGCACAACATCTTCCTGAAAACCTAATAAAAAAGCACAGTTATTTTTAAGTTATGTTTTATACAAAAGACATGAACATAATTATTTACCAGAATCAATTAGCAATATGGACGAAACTCCCGTTACTTTTGATTTACCAAATTCAGTAACTCTAGATGAACGTGGTGCAAAAACAGTTAGTATTAGAATAACAGGAAATGAAAAAACAAGCTTTACAGTAATTCTAGGTTGTACAGCAGATAGAACTAAACTATCTGCAACCTATATATTTAAATTAAAAAATATACCACGTCAACAATTTCCTCAAGATATTCATATTCATGTAAATAAAAAGGGTTGGTGTAATAAAGCAGAAATGAATTGGTGGATTAATAGTGTATGGCTTAATTGAAACTAATTGGGATATAAACGTTCACTTTTAGTATTAGGGGCCATCTTGTAGATTCTGTTAAAAAGAACTTTGAAGAAAATGAAACCGATATTGCAGTAATTTCTGGTGGCTTGACAAGTAAACTTCAATCTTTAGATGTTATGATTAATCACTCTTTTAAATCTAAGGTAAGCAAGCTTTTATTATTAAAAATTTTTTTTATTTATAATATTTAATTTATATTATTTTTGTAGCTTCGTACCTTATATAATGAATGGATGATCAACAAAATCCACAAATTTACACCTACAAGAAAAATTAAATGACCATCATATTCTACAATAGCAATATGGGTAAAAGAAGCATAAAATAAGGTTGATGTGGTTTTAATAAAAATTCTTTTAAATATTGTGAAATTTCTCTTATGAGTGATAGTAAAGAAGACAGCTGGCTTTTCAATATTGATCAATTATGTGAAAGCATAGCTGATCCAGAGTTAATAGATTTTGATAAGGAGATTTATATTGAGAATATAAACGTAACAAAAGGAGAAAATGAAGTAGAAAAAGAAAGAGATGTTGAAAATGAAGAAGAAAATTTGTATAAAGAAAGTTCGTTTTGTGAAAATAATTGGGGAATAAATAATTTTATATAAATAAATTATTTTTTATTATTTTGCATAATATAATAATTTTTATTGATTATTGTTATTTTATATCTGGATCTTTTGCAAAATCGCCTTCCAAAAATAGAAGGGGATATTATACTGTATATGGTGGGTACTTTAGTCAGCGCTGTACAGTAGTTATTATAAAAGTTTTGATGGAATCTGACAGAATAAGTAAATGAGTAGATTATATTTAAATTGTTATAGAACTTTTATATTAATATGTTCTATTGTATTCTAAATTCTATTCTAGGATTAATACTTTATTTAAAATATATAGAACTTATTTGTTTATTGGTTTTTTTTTATTTAATGTTTTAATAATATTATTGATTTTTTAAATATTTTTTTTGTGAATATCTTTTAATTATTTATTTAGGATTCTATTAAGCATATATATTTTATTCTTTGGACTTTTCTTAAATAATTATTTATATTGTAAATATAATAAATATTAGCTTATTATTATTTATTTTAAAATTATTAGTTTTATATAAAATTTTTACTATTTTTAAAACTTTTTTATATTCTTTCTAAATCTTGTTATTTATATTATATTATTTATAAAAGTAAAAATTATATATTTAAATTCTGGTTTTTTATATTATAATTTTTTATTTTTAAATCTTATACAATTATAAATAATATATTTTTATTTTATTTTTTTATATTTTATTTAATAATAAGTTACAAAAAATTTAAACTTATAAGACTTGTGGATCAATAGTACAATAGTAGTACTTCCAGGTCACAATCACAAGATCGGTAGTTCAACATCACTTAAAAATCAAAAAATTGAAATTATCCTTCTAATTAGGTTTTACTAGTTACTCTATAAAAGTTATATTTAATCATTCATAACCAGTCTTAAACAAATTAGGCTACATAAATATGTAACTTCTGGCCTTTTGTCAATTAAAGACTGAAACTTAAGGTTATACACTAAAAGAATTGCATGAAGTAAGGCTTCTGATTTAACTTACCATAAAACACTTAAGTCTATTCTATCCTGATAACCTCTAGGACCTCTACTCTCCTAACTCAAGATATCTTAATCTAATATTTCACTCAATTGAAAATCAGTTAATAGAAACTAATCCAATACTATGGGTAGTAACAAAAAAGATAACATGTTCCCTTCTGAGGTATAAGTGAATAATATCTAAAATATTGGAAGGTATTTACATCTTATTATATGCATACAAGAAAGAACTAGTTTAGTGAATTTAAAAGTCATCTGAGCCCCATACTAACTAGTCTAGCATCGCCATATATGACTGTATATTAATAATAATGCCACTAGCTATATATGTTCATTTTCAAAGTAGTAGTAGGTCTAGCTAGAATTTCCATAATAGATTAACCTTAATCTATATATAGTTGCTTCCAAAAGTTTGAGTTTACTTACTAAGTTTTTATTATAAATCTTAACTTTGCCAATTTTCAAATTCTCAATTATACAATCAAAAATTATAAAATTCATATATATTATATCTTAATACTAGTTTTATTTATTATATTTTTTTAAAA